ATCAGTATGAACCAGCTCTAACTTTTCTGCCTTGGGTGTCTTTCCAATCTTTGCAAAGCTGACTTTCTTTTGTTTGCCAAAGATGCAATCCTCGCATAGTCCGACATCTACATTCTTTAGATCCGACAGCTTCCCTTTTGACAAAAGCGTCTTCATCCCTTTCTCGCTCATATGGCCAAGCCTTTGGTGCCATAGGTTTGATTTTCCATCAGCATCTGCTACTACAATGATGTTCTCTAAATTTGAGGTTATATAGAGAGTACCAATTTTCTTACCACGAGCAATGACGAGTGCTCCTTTGGTAATCTTCCATTCACAGCCTGAAAAGGTTGTACTATATCCTTCTCCATCAAGCTATCCAACAGAAATCATATTTCTTTTGAGGCCAGGAATATGTCTCACTCCTTTCAACGTCCAGGTGGTCTGGTTTGGCAACTTTAGTCGGATGTCTCCTTTTCCGACGATCTTCAAGGTTTCATTATCAGCTAGATGAACCTTCCCAAAATCACCACTGACATAATTTTTCATGATTTCTCGGCATGGGGTGGAGTGGAAAGATGTCCTTGAATCCAAGATCCATGATTCAATCGGACTGTTTAAGCTTAGAATAATGGCATCACCTGTCTCCTCTGTCACGTTGGTAGATTCATGTACGCCGATATTTTTCTTCAGTGCTCGACAATCTCTTTTAAAGTGACCCTTCTTGCCACAATTATAACAGGTAAAATCTTTCTTTCCCGTTCTGGATTTTCCCCGTCTGGATTTCGATCTGTCATGATTTGAATTTCTTTCTGAAGTTCTCCCTCTGGACTCCGTGTGCAAGGCTGAGGAGGTCGATGCTTCACCCGATTCTCTCCGTCGAATTTCTTCGCTCAGTACCAAATCCCGAACATCATCGAATTTTAATTTACTATTTCCCGACGAGCTGGTAACTGCTGTAACAGTAGCATTCCAACTGTCTGGTAGAGATGATAAGATAATTAAAGCTCGAACTTCATCATCGAATTCAATTTCCACTGAACTCAACTAGGTTGTAATTGTGTTGAGTTCATTTAGGTGTTGTGCCATCGATGCCCCTTCCGTCATCCGTAAATTGAATAATCACCTCATTAAGTGCACTTTGTTTGAGGCTGATGGCTTCTCATACATACTGGAGAGAGCCGCCATAAGACCCGCCGTGGTCTTTTCCTTTGCTGTGTTGAAAGCAACATTGCGGGATAACGTCAGTCGGATAACTCCGAGGGCTTGTCTGTCGAGAAGAGCCCAATCTTCATTCTTCATGCCCTCTGGTTGCTTTCCCGAGAGAGGTTGATATAGATCTTTCTGGTACAGAAAATCTTCGATCTGCATCTTCCAAAAGCCAAAGTCCGCACCATCGAACTTTTCAATTTTCACCTTCCCTTCGTCTGCAGCCATCGCTCCCACTCGAATCTGGCTTCGTTTGGATCGTTTCTGACAATTCTTGCGAACCACCATGTATTAAAACACCTCCGTCGACAAATTCGTATCGCCGACAAAATTTTACTATTCACGAAATTCACTATTCACGTTAATAGTAACCTCGCAAAAAATTGACAAAATTCACGGCCAAAAACTCTGATTACCAGTTATAGGGAAATTACTTGTTGTACTCGTTTATTTCCTAACAGCTTATGTATTCTAATTTCAAGGGTTAATGAACCATTGGTTCCTTGCAACTTTTTAGCCTCTCGGTTATAGATTTGGTACATTGGCCACCCAATTTTCTTGCACTGGTTTACTCTTCTTTTATGTTTATGAAGATTGAAGAGAGAACTCATTGTGAAAAATGACTAGAATTAGGCCATCTCAATTGACTCAGTGCTTTCTCTTGTCCAATATGTATTAGTTTATGTGTATCTTTAGATTTTGCTAATGAAATGTATACTGATATTCTTAAACATGCTTATTAGCGGCTTTCTGGTAATAAGTTTATTGTATTTAGATGAGCTTGTCTAATGGTTTTTTAATGTATTATAGGAATACCATCTTCGTTTGCTCACCCGGAGCTCGAATTCGCTTTTTAATGGCAATCTTTACGGGTGGCTCAGTCACTGTTATCGCCAACGACATGGAACTCTAGGAAATGTGGACCTACAGTAATGATGGTGAAACCGAAAATTCAGTTCATTCAAGGAACTGATGAACAGACAATACAGGATGTGAGGTTAACCAAGTCCAGAGATGGTACAAATGGTATGGCTATATTCAGATTCAATCAACCCTCCGTATTCCACTCGTCCGGTGAAGTCGGTGACATTACTGAATTCTACACGATTGATGAGGAAGGAGTTCTTCAGTCGCGGTTGATGTAAATGCCAAATTTGTGAACGGGAAGCCTGTAGGGATTGAAGCAAAATTCATAATGCAAACTCCCCGAGAATGGGATAGGTTCATGAGATTTATGGAACTATATTCCAATGAAAATGGGTTGCAGTTCATCAAAAAAGGAGGCAATTATATTCTTCTCTTGCTCTACTCCACTGTCATCAGCATTCTTCCTTAGTGTTATGGGTTTAAGCTCAAGAAGAAGATGATGAAGAAGAAGAGTTAACGAAGTTAACGTGCCACGTTAGATAAAACTAACGGAAGGGAACGTCAGGGACCTTACTGAAAACGAATTAAAAGTTCAATGATTATATTACAAATTTTAAAAATTGGGTGACTAAAATGCAAGCACCATAAAAGTTTAGGGGCTATTTCTATAATTTATCCAAAATTTGCATGCTCATTTTATCAAATTTTTGAATAATCTGAAATTAAAATTTATCCGCTCATATCTAATTTGAATATCCGTTCTGAATTATTTAAAAATTAAAAAACATATAAGATACTCAAATTTTTTAATCAAATTGATTGGATCGGATTTTTTTACACCCCTAATATCGACGAATCTGCCACTTAACACCAAAAACATTAGTAATAACTACACTATTACATCAATTGATTTTCAATCCAATTAATTATTATTTTAGTTGAAATTATCCGTTTTTAACGATATTGGTCTCAATTAACCACATTTTCTCCTTAAACCATGCTTAGAGAAACACATAAAGGGCAAATTTGAGCAAAAGGTAGAGATTAAACAATTTGATTTTGAACATGAAACTAATACACAAGAAATTAAAATATATGACATGGTTATTAGACACAAACAATGACATTGACAAGTTCGGGTCTATGTACCAATTCCATAAATCAAGGAGTAGGGTCGTGAATAAGTCGAGTTAAGCTCGATTATTATTGAGCTTGACTCGACTTGAAAAGTTTAAAGTTAAGTTTGACTCGACTCGTATGCTCTCGAGCTTAAAATTGACTCAAATTTAAAATAAAAAATTGAAGCTCAACTTGAAAGCTCACGAGCTACTTAATATACAACTTGAAAGCCCACGACCTACTTGATACCTGACTTGAAAACTCATGAGCTTAAAATTGTCAAGCTTGAATCAAACTTGAAATTAAAAATTGAAGTTTGATTCGAGTTAAAAAAATCTTGAATTCAAAACATTCTTAGCCTTAGCTCAATTGAAGCTTAAACTCGAACTTTAAGTACATGAAAATATTATATTATATTTTTTAAGGAAAAATATAAATATTAGTATTATTAAATAATTTAATTTAAAAAATAAAAAATAAAATATTATTTTTTGAGTTACTCAATAGTTTTTCAAGTTAGATATTAAGTAACTCACTTCGACTAATTAAAAATTCGAGTTAAATTTAAATTTGAATCAATTCTATTCGATTTAAGTATTAACTGAATTTTAATCAAATTAAAACTAAATAATTCGTAGTCTCTCTTATCTCGAAGCAAGGAGTCGACTAAGAAGACAAAAAAACAAAAACATCCCACGGGATGAATTTATTTGCAGTCAATAGAGCAATCAATTGGTTTCCAAGACTACCATGAACCGGGATGGGACTGCGCTGCCGAAGCAAAAAGTGTAAAATGATATGGAACAAGGGAATGTTTGATTTAACACTGCACAACAAAACAATAATGATGAAAGGAATTATGTAAACAAAAAAAAAGTATACATTTCTTAAAATTCCTCCTTTTAACATTTAATTAATAGCCACTCTAGCCGGTATCTTTTTCTTAAAATACTTTAATTTCTAATATCTTATTTTAGGTCAAAATGACATTTGATTAGATAAAAACCTTTTTAGTTGAGTAATAATCAATATTTATCACTGAAGTGGCAAATCCCATGTGTCCAAAATCTGATATGGCATTGTCATGTGTAAATAAAAGATGATATATCACATGTTACGTGTCCAAAATGATGATATTATATATGACACATGTCCAATCATCACTTTAGACATGTGACATACTATATTATCACTTGTACACGTGGTAATGCTATGTTAATACTTTGGACATGTGACATGTACCACGCCATCATTTTGAAAATGTGACCTGTCAAGTCAGTATTTTGGACATAAGTTATAAACAATGTAATTACTTTAGACACGTGACATGTGCTATATCATCATTTATATACATATAAAAATATCACATCAGCACTTTGAACACATAAAATTTATCACGTCGACAATATGCATTGACGGTTAATCAATTAACAGTTTTAACCAACAAATGAGTAAAAAATTACTATAACATTCTATCATATGTTAAAACATGAGACTTAACTAATGAACATCGGACCTCATAAAAAAAGAACGATCATATGTGCATGGGTATGGAGGGCTAATGATGCCAATGAACAAATGATTGTTGCGACTATCACAAACATCAAATGCAGACAACTTGGGAATAATTTGGATGGAACGCTACAAATGGCTGTTGTTAGAAGCCACCTTTGTTTTTCTCAATTCTATCTCAAAGGACAACATGGTCGGACCGTCCATGTCAGATCATCTTCCTTTTTTGTGTGCCTTATCGTTTCAGCAAACTCGGATGCCTTAATATAACAAAACAAAAAGATGCTTACTTCCATTAACATGTAGTTAAAAAATGGTGACAGAAAGAGCATTTGGTTCATCTTTATGCTTATATTACAGACACTTTTTTTTTTATAGTTGCAGCCATAGGTATAGTACTGGTTTTTTGTTCACTATTATTCCTGCTGAACTACAGATGCAACAGTTCTAGCCCAAAACTTGAGATGTTTCTTCATATCAGCAACCGCAGAGACCCTTGGTACTCTTTGATTCAGCAATGGAGAATCGGGTCTTTTAATCAGCCAAGCCTCTGAAAAATATGGTCTTATAACAACTCTCTTCTTCTCTTCTTGTCCAATATCATCACCGCCGGTAATATTCACTTCAGTACTTTTTCATTCTTTTAGTACTGAGAAATCCAAGCCTGACAGGGACAACACGGATCATTGTCGGGTTCAAGTGTTCTTTCGTGAATATAAATCCACGAATCCTTTCACTTCTAGTTCCAAATCTTTCAAGCTCCTAAAACTCGTGGATTTTCGCAGTTTGCATTGATTATTCATCCTCTTATCACGTTTTTGAGCTGGAGGCGATGATGATGATGAAGAATGTGAACGACTATGATTCCTTTTTCTTGATCTTTTCTTCACTTGTTCTTCCTATAGAATTGATCACCGTGAAAACAATAGCAAAAATGAACAAATTAAAGAAGAAGAAAAATATGTTCAAAGGTTGTTGAGGAGCATCGGTTATTTACCGGTGCTGGTTCTTGTTGGTCTGCAACAGATGATAAAGAGAGGCTAGACAATGATGAGCTTGTAGTAGTGGTAGACTCTGAGTAGGGTTGCTTTGGTTCAAGCTGGTTTTCTGGGAAAAGAATATTCTGTTGGAACCAAAGGCGATCCATGGCTGCAATGAGACATAAAGAGAAGTTATTAGCCATTGAGAGGGGGACAATGGAGAGTGGAGAAAGGGTAATTTAAAAAGGGAAAAAAATCAGAGAATCGATCATCGTGCATGGTGTGAATTAAGTGGCCCTTGGTTCCATCCATGATGTGGATACTATTTGCTGCATTCATGTCAATTTATATGGCATAATAGTGGACCTCTCAAAGGGACAAAACCAATCAAGAACAAGCAAGTGGCATAAACACTCAGAATTCATGACGCCCCTTTGTCCAAATCATACATGAAAGATATATATCTGCTTTTTAGTTGAGGCTATCCAATCTGGGGGAGTAAATGTATTTGTTGCAAGTATTCAGAGAAGTACAAACTATAGATTTACTGTGATTAAGTTAACTATTGCACATCTCAATCGAATCATGGACAGGAGTATGATGAATCAGCAAGTGATATGGGAGGAATATGCCTATGTTACATTAACGTCTCTTTAAACCACTGCAATATGATATCTGCTTTATGTTAGCATGGAGGTTTTATTTATATATATGGGAAAGAGGAAAGTTTGAACTGACTTACGGTGGTGAGATTTTAAATTCCTTTGTATTTTAGGTATTTTCTTTGTATTTTATATAAAATATCTAATTTCTCATCCCTTTAAAATTTTAATATAATATTTTAACTTTGCACTTTAACATAAAATTTTGTGTTCGTCCCCGGTGGTGAGGAGTTGGAGATGAAAAGCAGGTAAACAGCGTAGAAGACTGGGAATGCATATGTAATTTTTAGGTCTGAGATGCAAAGAAGACAGTGGCAAGTGCATCAAATATTAGTCCCTGCCTTGCTCAGATTTGTTGAGATTTCAATTACTGAATCAAAATATATTTTATTAATTTCCAACTACGCGATAGAAAATATTTATTATTTTATTTGTATATTTATGATTTTGAGGGCAACAAGGGCATTTGGTCTAGTGGTATGATTCTCGCTTAGGGTGCGAGAGGTCCCGAGTTCAATTCTCGGAATGCCTCTTCTACTTTGATTTTGGAGTAATCTTCTTCATTTTGGGATTCATTTCTCATTTTGTTTGATATTCCTATTATTCTTCCAATTAAATATTAAAATTTAAAATTTATATCAAACAAATTAAATAAGATATTATAACATTCTTTTTAGTATAATCACCAGTATCCACGTTATTGATCGATAAATTATGTGATTCGAACCTCTGACCTTACTTAAGAAATCTAATGTCTTATCTCACTAGATAGTTAGTTGTTAATATATATTACAATACTTTCAATAAGATGTAAAGTAATATTATATATTGATAATTTTATTATCAAATATAATTTTATATTTCGTGAACCAAACAACTTTAAGGGATTTGGGAAGTTTGATTATATTAGAGTTCAATTTTAGGTTAATCTTTAAGACAAATATGCAACTATACGTGCCAAATTGGAATCGATTTTTCTTTAAGCATGAAAGTGAGAAAAATGAATAATTAGAAGACTAAATGAATATTTAACCCAAATCAGAAAATAAGTTGATCCGTGGTCTGTTGTGCTCCTGTTTTTGAAATCAATTATTCTTTGAATCTGGAATTGTTTCCGTGGACGGCGGGGGGAAACAAACCGAAACGAAGAAAATCAAACTCTCTCTTTCTCTGTTTATTTTCCGCTCAATTTCTTTCCAATACAAACCTCTACATTGCTTGATCTGTGAAGTAAAAGAAAAGATGAGTGTGATCGATATATTGACAAGGGTAGATGTGATCTGCAAGAAGTACGACAGGTACGACGTCGAAAAGCAGCGAGAACAAAATGTCTCCGGCGATGATGCTTTTGCCCGCGCATACGCCTCCATCGAAGCCGCCATTGAGGCCGCTCTTGAGGTAGCTCCGATCTAATCTAATGCTTTATTCTTATATTTGTTGATATTGTTAGGTTTAAGCTTGTTCTACGAGTAGGTTTTAGATTTAAAGAGTCTGTCTTTGTCTGCTTACTTGACCTTTGTTTCGTAAGAATTAGGGTTTTATGCCTTCGATTTGAGTTCTGTTTGTTTGTTTTGATTTAGAAAGCGGAACTCTCTTCCAAGGAGAAAAGCAAGGCATCTGCTGTTGCAGTGAATGCTGAGATTCGTCGAACCAAGGCTCGATTGCTTGAGGAGGTCCCTAAGCTGCAGAGATTGGCTGTTAAGAAGGTTAACTTTTTCTCTTTCAAATTTCCCAAATTGTTTAACAATTTATTGTAAATGTGAGCTCGTTTACCTGTTGATAGATTGGTAATGTTGTTCAAGCAAACAGAATCGACTTTTTTTAATAATGTATTTTGTATTTTGTTTTTCCTTGTTTAGGGGGTATTTGGAATGTACTATTGTGGACTTGCGAGTTGACTAGTTTGGACTTTCATTGTGATAGATTTTGAAATTCATTTACAGGTCAAAGGGATTTCAACTGAAGAGATGGCTGCCCGTAATGATCTGGTCCTTGCATTGCCAGACAGGATTCAAGCTATACCTGATGGAACTGCTGCCCCTAAACAAACTGGAGGCTGGATGTCTTCAGCCCCTTCAGCTTCTCGTACTGCCATTAAGTTTGATTCAGGTGATCTTTAACTCCATTGAAATTGCTTGTTGAGTTTATTGAAAATGTATATAGGTAGGCTCCATGTTTAGCTCTTTACTTACCTGTTCGAACTTGCCAATCTTTTTTTGTACCATTTTGACTGAAACTGAACACTTTATATGCTGTTATATTTTTCTCCTTATGCCTTTTGTTTTTGGGGAGGGTAGGTAGGGTGGAGTGGTTTGGCTTATTTGGTGGTGCCTTCCGTGATGATTGAGGAACATTGTTTTGTCTTTTAATTAGCTGATGCTAACATAAGATGAAAAGTTGGGGAAAATGGATCAAGAACAAGATTTGATTTGAATATAAAAGAGAAGAATTTGGAAGATAAAAATGGTGAAATAGAAATTAAGAGGAGGAACTCAACAGATTTGGAAAGAGGGAATGAGCATTTGATTCGAATATATTTAAAACTATTGTACTTCAATTTTTATATCTATGAGAATAATTAGAGGAGGCTGCTTAGCTTATGCTTGTATCCGTAAAATTACGGCTCATTATTCTTTTTCGCCATCTGACTGTTTCTGGTGAGAAATTCTCAATCTCATAGTTCATAATGCTTGGCTAATCAGTTATTCTAAAAATCTCTTGAACTTTTGTCTGGAACATCATTTTTTTTCGTTTTGCTGTACTTACATATTCATATTGGTCTTAGATGGACAATTTGACGATGAATACTTTCAAGAATCTGAACAGTCAAGTCAATTCAGGCAGGAGTATGAAATGCGGAGAATCAAGCAGGCATGACAAACATGTTTGGTCCCTATTTTTTATGAGCATCTTTTCCTATTTGAAGGAAGCTTGTTTGACTTTTAACTGCATTCACCACATTTCTTAAACTATGGTTTACATTTTGTTCTTTTGACCTCCATACAGGACCAAGGTTTGGATATGATTTCAGAAGGTTTGGATACTTTAAAGAACATGGCTCATGATATGAATGAGGTAAAGTTGACTTGATCTTCATTTATGAGTATGAATATTTGTTATCTTGTACTTTTTGTCAGTTTATTGTAATAGTCATGCTGGATAATAGCATCCTATGGTATCTGCAGGAATTAGATAGGCAAGTTCCTTTGATGGATGAAATTGACACCAAGGTAACATTATGACCATCATCTTGTTGTACATTATAGGAACTGCTTATAAGAATACAAATTTACAATTAAATTCTTTACACATTTATAGGTGGACAAGGCCGCTTCTGACCTTAAGAACACCAATGTTAGACTCAAAGATACTGTCACCCAGGTGATTGATTATAACTTCAATAATTGTAGATTCTCATCCATTTCAGCTTTCTTTTCTCCTTTTCTGTATGTAACATAAGTTATTGGTTTGTTCCAGTTGAGGTCGAGCCGAAATTTCTGTATTGATATCATATTGTTGTGCATAGTTCTGGGAATTGCTGCCTATTTATACAAGTAAGATTCTTTCTCATGCCTTTTATTTTAGAAAGCTCCCATCTAATACTAACTGAAAACTGTATCCTGTATTATAGATATACATACAATTTCATTTTAGTGGAACTTGCTATATAGCAAGTTCAGTTTTTTTTTTATGATGACGTTGGATTTTTTTAATAATGATTTAGGGAGCACTCCATTGATGGATTAACTAATATGATCTCATTTTTCTTTTTCTTTTTTTATCATTGAGATTTACCTTTAATTGTTCTTTATTTGCAGTGTTCTGAAGAAGTGAAGCGATAAAGGATTAATCTGTGTTTCCCGTGTTTGTTGTCGTCTTTCATTTGGTGGGTTTGTTTTCATGCTTGATCTTGTATTTGATTCGATTCATTTGTGGGAGTCATTGTTCACACTGGAAAAACGTGAGTTCATCTATTGACACAAAGTTCAAGAGAACCTAAATGTTTGTATATCATGGAGCTTCCAAAGATTTTATTAACATTTGTTTAAGGAGAGACTTCTGCCTTCATTTCTCTTCTTTAAATACATTGCTAAAAAATCCATCATCACTCCATATGCAGAGAATTTCAGATTGTAATTGATCAAATCTCTTGAAGACAGAAGTTGTGTTGCCTAGACAGATAGACAAATGCCTCTGAAACCAATTTCGGAATGGAGATGGAGGTAAAGTAAAATGAGGAACAAATAGTTGATTGGTATACTTAAAGTGGCAGCACTGTACAGATGAATGGGAAATAACCGTAATCAAGTATTGAAACAAAATTATTTTGGTATTTAGGGTAAAGAGATTTTGTGGAGATGAAAATGAAATCTGCAAATTCTTGTCATCAGAAATGGCTTCCTGGACTGATGTGGAGTATTTATCACTGCTTTGGAAGCTAATGCTTGAGATTGTATCAAAGCAAGGAAGGTCTTGAGATATAAAATGTAGGGTAACATAGGGAAGTCATTGAATATATAGCTTTTGGTTATTTCAACATTCGAAGGCCATTGGGATTTGGGACATAACAGCTATGTGGTTCTTGATTTGTAATGTTTCTTTTCCCAACTGTTCCATTTTATGTTGGTCTTTTGCCTCACTCTACAAGGACCCAATCATCAAACTGTATAAACATAACAAAAATCAGCATCTTTTGTCATCGTTGGAGGCGACTAGTTTAGATGAATTATTACAGAGGTTATTGACCCTTTATTCGGTGCAGGCACATTTTGATCATTTTTGGAATGTGCTTTAGACGCTACATCCGCTGAGACAAAGGCTGTGTTGGTTGCTTTTCAATTTGCCAAGGACAAAGGATTCTGCTCCATTACTATAGAGTCCGATTCTTATCGTATTGTTTCTAAACTTAGCAGGCATCATGTGCATTTATCTTTGCATGGTTCATTTTGGGTAAAAAGTCTTCTATTTTAGAACATTGATTATTTGTTGACTAACAATTTACATCTACATAGGGTCTTTCTACCACAAAATGAAACTTGGGTGATCAGAATGTTTTTCTTAAAATAGGGTAAACTATCCATTTAATACTTATATTATTATTTTTGTTCCATTTTGGTACCTAAAGTTTATTTTTTTATATCATACCTAACGTTTAGTTTATGTTTTATTTTGACATCCCGCTTTTAAAAACTTAACAGAACTACCAACGTGGTATTTTTTTTTATCTTTTTCAATGATAACGTGGTATTATCTTATGGTGACACATCAACATCATTGTTAAATTTTTAAAGACTGATGCTAAAATGAAACCTAAACTAAACACTAGATATGATTTTTTTTTTAAAAAGTAAAATTTGATTACCAAAACGAAACAAAAGTAATAATAAGAATAAGAGTCAAAATGATTATTTAATCATATGTTAAAATCATTTTTTAACATTATCTTTTTTTATCTATCTATTTGACTATCTATGTAACACCCCAACCTATACCCGACCTGGATACGAGTCTGAGATGTCACATTGACTTTTTAAAACAATATTCTTACAAAATAACAAAACGTTTGAACTTATATTAAGAAAATACGATAATATACCGTTGAATTATGTTCGTTATAACAAATTTAAGGAAAAATATGTTTTTATGAACAGTAATATACGGTATGAACAGTGATGAACAATACCATGAACAGCTATAAACAGTACCGTGAACAGTATCGAATGCTAAAATTTTCCAGAATGATACAGGGGTATTGATACCCTGCTACAGTGTACCGATACCCTGCTATAGTAATTTTCTGCAAAACATATAAAACTCACAAAATACTTAAACTTTCATAATTATACAATTACCATTTACATAAATACGTTTAAAACATTCCAAAACTTGATCAAAGCACACATACTTAATTTAACGACTTTGTTTACATGCCAACCTATTTACCATATAATAATACATACTATGAAATCTACTTCTGATCTAATCTTTGAATGGAGATATCTTGTTCCTTTGAACTTAGCTTTGATACTCTCGCTTTTCAGTACCTACGTGTAAATCACTTACACGCTAAGTCATAGACTTAGTGAGGCATATAAATATAATGATGATGCATTCCTTATGAATATAAACATGCAATCTATCCATTCTATCATGTCACATGTAATTCAATGTAAACAATAATAACATGATAACATATAATAATAATAATAATAATAATAATAATAATAATAATAATGCAATTACCTTTGATAACCTTTTATAGGCCCATGTACATTACTGATAACTCAAGATATTTGAGTACATTGAGGTTGTGCACTATTGTTGTCACCACAGCTCGTATGGGGTCTGTTGAGTTAATCGATCGACGAAATCGGCCAAGAGGGGGGTGAATTGGCAATTAAAAATTTCGTGGAAGCTTTTGCAGAAAAATTAAAAGTAATTGCACAGCGATTTACAGTGGTTCGACTTTCTCAAACAAAGTCTACGTCCACTACCTTAGCTATCCACACTAAGGATTTTCCAACAAATTCACTAATTTGTTCTTTCTTTTGAGGCCAAAGAGATAATCTTACAAAATCCCTCAAGAGTATACCCCAACTCTTGAGAACACTCTTTTTCCCAAAGAGAATATTACAAATTTGCAAACTTACAAGAAAACCTCACAAGGTAAGATGTTTGCACAATTCTAGAACAAGAAAAGAACACTCAAAGATAATTACAAATGAGCACAAATGGTGTTCTTGAAAGCAAAATGAATATTGAAAGGAAAATTGGCTTGATTTGCACAAACTTGGTGTTTGATGCTTTCTCTCTTGTTTCTCTATAATTTCTTGTTGATCAAGGGCTTCAGAACTTGTTTAAATACACCTTGAATCTCTTCTGAACGTTGGGGATGATTAGTGAAGATCATATAGCCGTTTTAGTGTGAAAACAATTAATAAAACAATTTGGAGCGTGGGGGGAATCGGTACCCCCTATGGGGAATCGGTTCCCTAAGTGTAAAATTCAAATATTTCGACCGTTGAACAGGGGGAATCGGTACCCCCTATGAGGGAATCGGTTCCCTCCGAGCATTTTGGAAATCTCGGAGCCAAACCCTTCAGGGGGGAATCGGTACCCCCTTGGGGGGGGAATCGGTTCCCTCTGAGTAATCTTGAATTTTTGGCTTTAAAATGGTTCGAAATACTTTGAAAGATTATTTTGAAATTGTTTTAAGATTAAAACTTATTTTTACACTTAAGTAAGGATTAAAAATGATTTTTGAAATATTTTGAGTAATGTTTTGATATTCGAATAATTATATCGAATATACTTAGAAAATCATTTTGGAAAATCTTAAAATTCATTTAACTTAATTTGTTATATCGAAATATCAAAATGTTTTCAACAATCTCCCCCTTTTTGATATAACAAAACATTTTAGTAATTTTAAGATTTTGAAATCAAGTTTTGAAATTACTCCCCCTTACTTTAACACTTCTCCCATTTATCATTTTTAAAAACACACACTTAAAACACACTTCTCCCCCTTTTTGTTAAATAAAAAAAACTCAAATGAACGTGAAAATATTAAGCCAATTGATTAGGTATATGTATGCATAAGCTGCTAAGATCACAATTAAGAGAAACGTTAGCCATTAGTTCCGTAATCAATATTCATAAATAATGTGATATGGAAAAATTGGTTATATTGCTAATAATGCTGTAAATGATGCAATAACAAATAAAACACACCAAACATATAAGTTCACACCATCCATAAATCCAAAATCCAACAATCCACAAAATCAAACATTCCAAAATATTCAAAATGTTAAAACAATAAGTACCGGCTGAAATGTATTCCGCTTCAGTGGTAGATAATGCCACACAATTTTATTTCTTTGAAATGTATTCCGCTTCAGTGATAGATAATGCCACACAGTTTTATTTCTTTGAAAACCAAGAAATCAGCATATTTCCAAGGAATTGGCAAGTACCGGAGGTGTTTTTCCTATCTAATTTGCATCCTCCATAATCCGCATCAGAAAAGGCATGCAAGCTAAAGCTAGAGTCTCTAGGATACCAAAGTCCTAAACTAGGAGTGTCCTTAAGGTATCTAAAGATTCACTTAACAGCTAGTAAATGTGATTCTTTAGGACATGATTGAAACCTAGCACACAAGCAAACACTAAACATAATATCCGGTCTACTTGCGGTTAGATAAAGCAATGAGCCAATCATGGATCTATATAATTTAACATCCACACATTTACCTCCTTCATCTAAGTCAAGCTTTGTTGAAGAGCTCATTGGAGTGTTATGAGGTTTCCCATTTTCCAGTCCAAACTTCTTGAGCATATCTTTGACGTACTTAGCTTGATTAATGAAGATGCCATCTTTTCTTTGCTTGATTTGGAGTCCCAAGAAAAATGAGAGCTCCCCCATCATGCTCATCTCAAACTCACTTTGCATTAGCTTAGAAAATTCTTGGCAAAGAACATCATTAGTAGAACCAAATATTATATCATCAACGTAAATTTGAACTACTAATAAATCTTTACCTTTTCTCTTTAAAAACAATGTAGTGTCAACCTTTCCTTTTAAAAAACCTTTTTCAATTAAAAAATTTGACAATCTTTCATACCAAGCTCAAGGAGCTTGTTTTAAACCATAAAGAGCTTTTGTCAATTTTAAAACATGATCCGGAAAATTTGAATCTTCAAAACCTGGAGGTTGTTCCACGTACACTTCTTCTTTTATAAAACCATTTAAAAATGCACTTTTAACATCCATTTGATATAATTTAAATTCATTGAAACATGCAAATGCTAATAACATTCTAATTGCTTCCATCCTAGCTACGGGAGCGTATGTTTCATCATAGTCTATGCCCTCTTCTTGAGTATAGCCTTGAGCAACAAGTCTAGCCTTGTTCCTCACTATATTACC